GCATGTTCTTTCCTGGGGAAGAGGACTTTTCCTACTCTCAACAATTCTTAGTTGCCTATAGTTCCTTGTGAAAGGCTGAGGCCTGGTGGTATTCTTCCCACATGCTTTAGTACATGCACTGCTGTTGTCCTTGCTCGGCTTATGGACAGACAGTCATGTTGGTGATGAGAGTTTATGGGTATAGCTCCTGACTTTACAAGAATATGCAGTCTCACACACAGCAACATCCTTGACCCTCTGGCTCTTAAAATATTTCCACACCTCTTCACCAGAGTTCCCGAAGCCTTAGGGAGAAGAACTGGTTTGTAGATGTATCCATTGGTACTGGGCTCCACAACTTTACATTTTGGTTGGTTGTTGTTTTCTTTAATGGTCTTCTGTTGCAAAAAAAGTTTCCTTGATGAGAGATTACACTTACCTGTGGGCATAAGGACTGATATTTAGAATGTATTTGGTGATTATGATGCTTTAGTAAAGTGGCAGTTGTAGATTTTCCTCTAAGACCCATGGCTTCAGTAGCTTGGTTAGTTGGTTAGGTTTCCAGTACCAGTTATGATTTTCCTGCTCTTAAGTGAGTCTTATGACAAAAGAGAGGTGTTAGTTACCACCCAAGTATGGGTACCATTACTGTACCCACAGGGCTACTGTGTTGTTCTGGTTCTTTTTGTGTTTTATATGTGTCATAGCTGGGTAGTACAGTTGGTTGCTTCCCTTCCCCAGAAATGTGCATGGAGCCTTGTAGTACCATAATAATCTAGTCCACAGGGAGGAGGTATTCAGGTCAGTCCCATATCAGGGGCCTCTGGGCTCTGCATCTGAAAAATGCATGGTATCAGCTTTTAGACTGCAAGTGATTAAAATATATATAAAAGAATAAAAAAAGTAAAAAAAAAAAAAAAGTAGAGGTGGGGATTCTCCATCCTGCAACACATTTAGCGGCAGCCACTGATCATTTGTGTTTGTCAATCCTTAAATGGAGTTTTCTGGGAATGGAAAGTCATCATCTGTTGCAGAGGAACCTTGGTGATAAAGAAAATAAATCAGAAATCCTAGAAAATGACTGCTGATCTCCACTGGCAACCCTTGCTGAGCTTCTTTCAGTTGTGTCTTTATAATGTCTCAAGCTGGAGGAAGACTGACTTTCAAATATTTGGGAACTTTTGAGCTTTTTCTTCCACTATGTTTGGTGAAGCTGGGTGACCTCTTTCAAACATACATTATTTCCCTCTGTAAGCTTCCGAAAATAAAAGTGTTCTTTCTCCTGTCCACTTTACCTGGGTCTAGGTCTCAAATCCATTCCAATCTACTTTATGTGGAAGAGATAAATAAGTGATTTCATCAAACTCCACTTTTCCATCAGCCTCTGTAGAGCAGTTTCAGCTCACTGGACCAACTGTAGAGCCTGTTTCCCTGTGAGAACTGCATCTACCGTCCTTTGCAGAGTCAGAGCACAGTGGTGTGTTTTGTCTTGGGTTTTCGACCTGTAAAATCCTGGCCCTCAAAGGCTCTTATAATTTTGAGATGACCAATTATTCCCTAAAGTCTTCAAAGGTTCCAAACGAAATCACTAAGCAGATCTAGGTATCAAAGTATTTGTGTTTTCTTCTCCTTGAATAAGATTTTACCACTTTTCTCTAGTGGAAATTTTGTTCCCAAGAAAATATGTATGTATCTGAGCTTCTGGAGGTTAAACAACACCAACAGAATTGCTCATTATGTTAATGCTGTGGTATAGCAGTCTATCTTATGGTGATGCAGTGTAAAGCATTTTTATACAAAGATTTTCTGGAGGAGTTTGGGAGGGGCTAAAGGGAGTAGACTTACCCCCCCCCCCGGCTGCCACATCCACCAATCTCCATGTCCTTCTAATGTTTCTCCAGTGCTCTTTCTATTTACTTTTCAGTTACCTATCTGAATGCAACCTGCACTATTTTTGCATTCCTAGCTCCTAAGTATGACAGGCAAGTGGGAGTCCTCATTCAGAGATGCTGGCTGGAGTCACTGGATGGGAGAATGAATGAAAAGGAGCTGGAGATAACAGAAATTCAAGGGCAGAGCTCTAGTCAAGTGGATTGGAGGTGGGGTGGATTCCCCCAGACGAAAAACCAGATGACAGGGAATTAAATATAGAACTCAAAAAGCAAGATCGCATTTGAATGAATAGACCACATAGCCTGTGATGGAATTTTAGGCAGCAATTGGGAAGAAGCATGGCTCACGTTCTAAAGACTGAAGGTTTTTTTTTTTTTTTTGTCTGATCAAACCCTCGTTTATTAGAAATTTTTACCCAACTTATATAGGGAGAAGGCAGGAAAAGGGGGAAGGCTTAATTACTGCTGCAGGAGATAGCAAGAGTGCTTTCATGGCTTGAATATTGCACCTGTAAGATACCGTAAGGATGTTTTCTTAAGATATCTCATGGATGCTCTAAAACTAACAGACGGATGTCCTCACAAATCTATCACCCATGACTGAGGGTCCTAGATAACTCTTTCACTAAATAGCTTTAGGTCTCCACCAACTGACCTTTGCTCACTATTTGGCTTTGGCTTCAGTAAATAGCTTTGGCTCCTGGAAGATACTGAGCTGCAATGGGCTACATCTGTGCAGGGGTTCTAGATTATTTCCATGAATGGTCCTTGGTTGGAATATCAGACTCAGAAAAGACCCCTGGGCCCAGATTTTTTGGTTCTGTTTCTCTCCTTGTGGAGCTCCTGTCCCTTCCAGGTCTTACTATCTCCCCCTTCTTTCAGAAGATTCCCTGCACTCTGCCCAAACTTTGGCTATGAAAGACTGAAGGTTTTAAACTTAAAAAAAAAAATCTAAATTTGAGCCATGAACAGGTCGGTTAGACACTTGCTAAGGACCAGATATATTGTGCCCACCTCGCTGGGTCCTCCGTCAATTCTTTACAGATATATGCAATCATTTTCATTTTACAGATGGGGAAAGTGAGTTTTAAGGAAAGCAATTCACTTGCCAAAAATTACGTTTGGAGAACGGAGGCATGACTTGAACCTAGGTCTGTCTGAATCTACCTGCTGTTCTCTTAGCTTTGTTTGGCATATGGATGTGTAGCGTAAGAATCTGTGCACATTGGGTTGCTGTCGTCAGGGCGTGCCTGGGTCATCACCTTTTAAAGAAGGAAGCAGCATTGGGATAGTAGTGGCCATCTTCTTTTATCACACAGCCTTGCCTAGGATTTCCATAAGAATTCTGGGTAATGAGCTAAAGGATTCTTGTTTGGTTTTGGTTTTTCTAGATAGGGTTTCTCTGTGTAGCCCTGTCCATCCTGGAACTCGCTCTGTAGAGCAGGTTGGCCTTGAACTCAGAGATCTGCCTGCCTCTGCCTCCTGAGTGCTGAAATTAAAGGCATGCCCCACCATAATCCAGCAAGCTAAGTTTTAATAACAGTTTACACATGAGATAAGTGTTTAATATCCTACATACCAATTTATACATAATGGAGGTAAGATTCATACAGACTCAAACCTTCCTTACAGCTGTGTTCCTGCCACCACAAACATGTTGCAAAAAGCGTTCTCTATAAGGGCATGCAGCATATTTTAAAGAATGTGTGCTGCAGGGAGCTCCAGCCCTCACACTACGCTTGAGGGAGAGCGGCATCTAGGGAAGAAATTAAGAAATCCAAGCGTTATCAGAAAGTTATGCGTTTGCCTAGGTTTCTTGCTATCATATCCTTTTCCTTCGACCCCAGAAATGGCAGATTCTGGAGAGATTCTTGGACCAAGAGTATATCTAACTCTGTACACCAATAGCACAAAGACAAGACTTCTGCAGCCTTGAGGTAGCTATTTTCAGAAAAGCACATTACGATAGGATGTGCCTTGGGCTCTAATAAAACTGTCTTTAGTCGTGCCAGGTGTGTGAACTTAAGCATTATTGATTGGAATCCACATCTGCCTGAAAACTTCTTCCCGAAAATCTAAGGCTAAGCATTTCCTATGCTACAATCACCGGCACCACCGGAAGAATGGCATCTTCCCACTCAAATTCTGGAAATATTTGACATGCACTATATGTTTAATGTTTGAATTCAGCCAAGCAACATGTGCGCCCCTGGGAAACCTAGTATCTGCTGAGCTGTCAAAGGCGGGGATTGTACCAGGCAAGGGGAACACAGATACACTAACTTGGGAGCCACAGCCAGGCTGCCTCTTAAGGATAATCTTCTGTGTCTAAATTATATATGTGTTCCGTTCTCTCATTTGCACAACCAATTATAGGGAAGTTTCTTATTGTGAGGTGCAATAATTTGATATAATTGGAACAGCTTCAGCATTTTTGAAGGTGGTTTCCCTGGCAGAACGAAGTCTTGGGGAAAACAAATTACATTGATTTACTAGCAATTCTGCAAATGAGTTGTCTGGGGGACTCAGGAGGAGTCTTTTATGCAGTACAAAGAAACTACTCGCTATTTGACATTTTAAATTGCTCGCTTGGAATATGCAAAACTGCAGCTATATAATTGCATGTTCTAATTGCATGTTGTTGCTTCCGAGGCCACCAATTTGCACTTGGATTTAGAGACATTCTGCATGCTAATCAAGAGAGAAGTGATACTCATTTTCCCTCAAGTTATAGAGGGCACAGCAGGGCTGTGCACATCCAGGGGAAAGCCCAGACTAAGTCTGTAGTAAATTCCTGTTCAAGATCCACTCTGGTAACTTCAGTTTTACTGAAAGTAGCTTATGGGAAGGCAGTCACCAAATGGGTAGCACAAGGACAGATGGCACTTGACAACATAAAAATCACATAATCTAATAAACTGAAGACTAGCTGAGCTTTGGAGACAATCAAGGGCAGCCTGCTGTTCACCCTGCCAGCAGGAGAGAGTACAAAGGAAGGGACTGCGTAAGGGCCAAGAGATAAATGACCTTACATTTGCAACTTAGAAAGACCCCTGTATTTTAACACTAAGGGTGTGAAACTGGGTCCAGGAAGACCATGCTTTAACAGGTAGAAAGAAGAAGATCTGAATGTATGAAGTTGTGACAGAAGAGACAAGTGACTGGATCAAAATGCAGAGAACAACTCGACATGGGATGCTCAGCATCAGTGGGGACATCTACAATACAACTCCTGTACCCAGGGCCCAGAGAACACTGCAGGAGTGGGAATATTGTAAGAGCCAAAGGACTGGGGAGTCGCAGTGAGGGTGCAGCTCCTAGAAATGACAAGAGAAGCTACATACCTCAATAATACGACTGCCAAAACAAGACTTGAGTGATGACAACATGAATAGACATGCTAACATGGAGTGAGAGGTCAGGGAGGGAGATCACCATGCTTCACCCCGAAACAAAGAGTTATAGGCAACTAATGATTACTGAGAGGAATTATTGTTCTTTTCTAGGAATGATCCCCCTAGTTGGTTATCACAGATTCTGCATGCTATAATCATATATTTATCCATATATGTAAACGTGTGTGTGTGTTTGTGCGTTTGAGTGTGTGACAATAATAAAGAAAAAGGAGCCAGGAACTTAAGAGAGAGTGAGAGGGCAGATGGGAGGGATTGGAAGAAGAAAACAGAAGAGTGAAATGATATAATTATATTTTAATTAATATTTTAAAAAGCCCATCCTCATTCAATTTTTTCCCAGGAGTCTCTTTTGAGCAATGACAATTTTTAATTTTATAGACCTTATGTAGTCCATTACCTTTAGAATTCAAAATATTATGAGATTATCATTGTTTTTTATCATCCTTCTGATAGAGATTTAGGCATATTATCCTGAAGGCCACTTTTATTAATATTTTTTTAAGAAAACTTAGCCTTACATTCTTAAATAAGCCTTGCAATGGAACCTGCAACCCCTTTCAATTTTGCATGCATTATGTATTCCTATTTGAAATCATAAGATGCTAGCCTCACCTTAAATTCAAAAATGGAATTTCAGCAAGCCATTACAAGGCAGGGACCCTAGGAATCAGAACAGCAGGCCATAAAAGTTGAGCTTCTGTGAAGGTCAGACAACAGTGTCATTAAACGTATTAAGAGATGAGAAAGCTTAAGATGGAGAAGGGAGGGAGGGTTGGGTGGAGAACAGGAAGGAAGATGATTATTTGAGGAAACCGATCCAACTTTTGTGCTAAGGATAAATTAGGAACTCATAGCAAGGGTAATGTGTGTGATAGGGTGAGAATAATAAGACGCCTGTGTTAGATAACCACTGACAGATGCAGTTTGAATGAAACTTCAAATCCCACCAAGCGTTTGAGCTTTAAAAGTGGTTGAAACCCTCTACTCTTCAAGTTTAAACTGGGGCTGAAATTGCCATATTCTATAATTTTGTAGGTCACAGAACATAAAACATCCAATAGATATTCATCCTTAAAGATGAGCTTACATTCAAAAGAATGCCAGTGGCATGAGTTCCAGCAAACACAACCAACAGAATAACGGGCATTGGCCCATGTTTTAAATTGTGTTAAAATATTTTTTTGCAGTAATAACCACTTTTTGTCTCCGTAGTTCTTCATCATGTAAAACAATCTAATACCATTAATAAGCATGCAGATCTCCCTCCCAGATTTCCCAGACTTAAAACTTTTAAGTACTCTGTGTGTCATAAAAGCAGAATCATAACATTTGCTTAACTGACTGCCTCAGTTAAATGCCCCCTTCTAAACTCATTTTGAAACTTAATTGCATTGTAGAGGTATCAAGAAGTGAGACCTTTAATGGGTGTTGTTGATGATTCTCTTGGTCATCAAATTTAGTCCTTATTGTCCTCATTGTCCTCAGGAGTGACATGCTTCCCTTCTATCCAATTCCCTTATGAATTTTTGTCCACTTAACTGAGCATTGCATTGGATATGTTTTCATTTTGAATAAAATGAAAGGACTAAAATTAATTTTGCTCTTAGTTCTTCTATCATTTCTGACATTTCATGAGAATCTCTGTACAGGTATATTTGTTGAAATGTAAACTAATGACCAGAATATTACTGAATTAATTACTGAGTCAGTGGCCAGCATTTACTGATTGTCTAGCATATACTCTAAGGTATTAGCTGTTGTCAGGCCTGAAGGCTCTGTACATTCTTATTTGTTGTTTATCAATAGATCCCAATACAAACTGGTGAAAATATTTTCTTTCTCATGTTTAGATAATTTTTGAGTATAGGTGAACTCAACTTGTAATAATTCGTTTCTGCTTTGTGTGGTAATGGCTAGGCTCAGGTGGCTATATACCCTTGCCTAAGACTGGGATCTGGGATGATGAAACGTGCCTACCACCCTCATGTTCTACAAGAAGCGGTGATCATACAGTGGATAAAATGATTCTAGCAATCAGAAAAGGCAAGACAGAATAGCAAGGAATGGTTCAGATGGCTGTGGCATTAGACTTGCTTGCTACTGTTTCAAAGCAATTCACATGAAGAGAGAGAGAGAAAGTAACAGGAGACAACCTAAGGCTTCGAATTAACTAGGAAGCACTCTGCCTCTGAACTATATCCCCAGCTTCTTCCCATGATTCCTTTCATGTCTTACTTTGAATCAGGGTATTACTAAGTCACTAAGATTGGCCTTGAGCCCGCTCTATACTCCCAGGGTGCCTGGGACTTGTAATTCTCTTACTTTAGTCTCTTAAGTAGCTAGGCTTTTTGCCACCACAAGCTGCCTGGCATAGAGTTAATACCCTAACCAAAACTTGTGGAACAGATAAAATATGAATTTTACTCTCCCTTTGAGGTTATAAATGTGAGTCATTTCTTGGATTATGACAGTCCTCTTGACCTAACCACCAAGTGGATTTAGCTTACTGGACAGCCAATCTGAATCCTTCAGGTTAAAGCAGGCTTCTACTAAAACACTTTCTCAGACTCTGTCTCGTTTCACTAGAAACACTGGTCTTTGTCCCTTAAATGAGGTCCTTTGTAGAGCTTGCCAGGGGTGGGGCAGTGAATTATTGCTTCTGTATAAGGATCAAGCGACTCCCTTCCATTTATATCTCACTGCCACAGAGAGAGTCGCCTGACCTCTTTAGAAACTGGAAGAAAGATGATGCCCTCTAGTGCTGTGGACAGTTCAGCCTGCGAGGATGTTATTAATCATTTCTTTCTGGGTTGGCTCCTGAAGAGCTCCTTTATCATCATCCATCTTTTTCTAGAAGAGATCTTTAAATTCCACTTTGTTTAAAAAGAATAATGTTGCTGCCTTTTGTGGGAGTGAGGTGAGAGTTTTTAATGCACCTTTTTGTTTGTTTGTTTGTTTCTGTTTTCAGGTCAAGGAAAAGTTTTGAAGTCACATAGCTTCAGGAGGTTATCACCTGTGCAGGCTACAGAGGAAGGGTATCACTGATAATTATTTGTTTTGCTCCTTTCCAAGAACCCTAGATTTCCTCACTTGAACCTAAGTGTTCTCTGAACACTGCCTCTACTCATAGCTTTAAAACTAGAAGATTTTAATGCCTTGACACTAGCTCACAACTGGGCAGATATCTTACATTAATATAACGGTGATAAATGTGTAGCGATGAGGAAGGAAGAGACTGCTTAGCAGCAGTCTTTCCTGACAACTGTCTTTTTCAAGATACAAAGTGTTCAGAACCCAGAGGCAGAGGAGAATGTGGAAGGCAGAATAGTGAGACAGAAAGAAAAGAGGTACACGTGCTGTCAGGACACCACTGTTTTACCCGAATTAGATTTAAATGATATGAACGAATACATCCTCTTTTGATGTAATTTAACTGGAGTTTAGTTATATTGTTTCTAATCTGAATTTTGGTGTCTAATATACAGCTAGACTCAAAAAAGAAGATGAAATTCTGGATTGAAGAATCTGTTGCAAGCTGCAAGTGATGGCGTGTAGAGTTTCAGTGCAGGGGATACTTTGAAAGGAGGGATGAAGGTGACCCAGAAAAGAGAAGTGACACCTCTATTCTGTTGCTGGTAGAACCTTGGGTAGAGGCATCTTAACAGATGATACCTGAGCTGCAGAAACTTGCATGCGTGCAGATCACACAGCCATGTAACTGTGCTTTTATTGCAAGGAATATTTTGTAGCTGAGACAAATATGCCCTAGCATGACTTCAATACACAGATCCATTTGTGTTACAGGTAATTTAATAGATGTTTAAGGCTCTCATAGTATGTGCCAGAGGCTTGAATAAAGAAAATAACAATAACAGCAACAATAATATTCTCGTACTAAAAGTTTCAGGATGAAAGAAGTGAGAAGAGCTGATAAGAGATCCTTCCAAACAGGATGGAAAGACATTCTACACATGACGCCAACACTATAGTAAGTTGCATTTGTAGTTTATAACAGTAGTATTGAAACCCTTGACCTTAGTTATGTCACACGCATGAAAAAAAATAAGAATAATACAATTATCAAGATTTCATTAAAATAGAGAAATAAAGCTGAAATTGTCACCCTCTGAGATTTTATAATCTTTCCCCATTCAGATGTGTGCTATATATTGCAATGAACATGTGTAGGGATATGCATCTGATTTTATTTTGAGAAGTAAAAGACAATCCTATATTGGTTCTCCATTTTAAGAAGAGAGTCTCAGTTACAGTGTTTAGTAATAACTTGTCTAGGATGGAGTGGAGGACAGGTTTGGGAGAGAGCTTATTTATAACTTTGAGTGAAATCACAGAAAGCTATGCAAAGACATAGAGGTCTGGTGTGGCACAGCCTGCCCAGGGAACAGTTTTACAGAGGAATATTTTTTTAATATTTTTTTAATTGTAGTTTTTATTAATTATACTTTATTCACTTTGTTTCCCCTCATAAACCCCTCCATCCTCCCCTCCTAATCCCACCTTTCCTCCCCCTTCTCCACGCATGCCCCTCCCCAAGTCCACTGATAGGAAAGGTCTTCCTCTCCTTCCTCTGATCCTAGTCTATCAGATCTCATCAGGAGTGGCTGCATTGTCTTTCTCTGTGGCCTGGTAAGACTGCTCCCCCCTCAGGGGGAGGTGATCAAAGAGCAGGCCAATCAGTTCATGTCAGAGACAGTCCCTGTTCCCATTACTATGGAACCCACTTGGACACTGAACTGCCTTGGGCTACATCTCTGCAGGGGTTCTAGGTTATCTCCATGCATGGTACTTGGTTGGAGTATGAGTCTCTGGAAAGACCCCTGTGTTCAAATTTTCTGGTTCTGTTGCTCTCCTTGTGGAGTTCCTGT